AGACAAACCACTTCTGCGCATTTTCACCCGCCTTCCAGCTGGGAATACGATCTCCATTGAGAAGGTATACATGAAGCGTTGGACTCGGCATAAGTTCATTCGCTCAGATGTGGCTCCCTCAAATGAAATCATCGGAGATTTATATCTGCAGGTACTGGAGACTCAGGATCTGATTGTCGGGACCAGTGCCGCTGAAGGAACAGCCGTGCGCGCCCGTGCGGTGGCACCTCAAGAGATGATTAAACGGGGAAGACTTTGGTATGAGGCTTCGCTCGTCAGTCCAGCTATTGAATCTCTCTTGAAGAGCAATGTCGACCTTGAGGTTGGTGAGCGTGCAGAAGACTGGTGTAGCGTCGACTTATTCGGGAGGGATGCATCTCTTATAACCTCAGGTGCGCCACTTAGTCCAGTCGCCATGGCTATTGGGACCGGGGGGCTCGGGGATCTCCTGCGTCTCACTAGCTTGGTAGTTGAGAAGGCAGATGGTGTTGGCTACTTCAACCAGAGGGCCAGCGTCTCAACCAAGGCATCAGTCCACTCCGGCGCGCTTCAGATTGTACCTGTTTCAAAGGGCCTCGAGTTTGATGACATAGAGAGCGTTAAAGACCTAGGTAGCGCCTGCCCACAGAGAGAAACGTTTGAAGGGCTAGAGCGGGAATTTTGGTGAGGTCGGGTGCAGTGCGGAGGAAGTATCAATGAGATCAAATTGAAATTTAGTCAATATGACCAGGTTTTCTTTTGTGATTCCTACAATTTCTGTTCTGCTTTGTAGTTACAGCACTTCTGATTTTTGGTACGTAGATGTCTGCGTAGGTCGAGGAAGCCTACCGACATGCAACTATCTTCGAGAACATCAATTCCACATCAGTGTTATGCACAGTATCCAATCGTCTATACATTCCCAAAGTATCACCAACCTCTAACTCTCTGACTTTATTGCCACCACAAAACCTCAAAACACATTTTATGTTCAGTAGCGGCCAGCATGCAGCACGTCCCACGTACCAAGAATGCAACTAGAACTCGAATAAAAGAACCAAACATACCCTCCCTTCTAACACATAAAAAAGCATAACGAAAAATAGAAAGAATTAGAGGGAAAGAAAAAAAGAAAAGACAAATCAATCATCCTGCTCCGCCGCATCATCCACCCCCCTAAGCCAAGCGCCCCTAGCATCAACCGCAGCCTTTCTAACATCGCGCTTCGGATCATCCAACACCGTCCTCAACGCCCTAAGCACCTGACTCTTCACCGGCAAAAGCGGCGATAGCTTACCCGCCTTAGCTACCTTTGGAGCATCGGCGGTACCGGAACCCGGCGTCTGCGCAAGCAAGAACAGACACTTGAGAGCATCGACGCGCAGTTTGGGTCCATTCACAGCTCCAGTAGCTGGTGCGTGCTCCGCCGTCTTGAGAAGTCGAGTGACGAGGCTTTGCACGTGTCCGCACTCTTCGATCACGGTGACGCCGTTGTCGCGGATGATTACCGCGAGGGTTTCGAGGGTGGCGGCGCGGACGGGCTGGGAGTCGGCGGATTGGAGGTCTAGACTTTGGAGGAGGAGGGGGAGGAGGGTGGGGAGTTCGGGCATGACGAGGGTCGGGGGAATGGTGGAGAGGATGCCGGAGAGGGCGGTTAGGTGGGCGGGTTTGATGTGTGGTGATGTTGGTGCCGTGGTGATGGTTGTGTTGCCGGCGACGTTGACTTCGCGGATGCGGGCGGAGATGAGTGGGGTGAGGGTGGTGAAGACGCGTTGTTTGGAGAGGAGGCGGATGTTGGCGTGGTTGGTTGGGGAGAGGACTTCGTCGTCTTTGAGGAGGATGGCGAAGCCGCGGGCGGCGGTGGTGCTGGTGGATTCGGAGGAGGAGGAGAGGAGGTTCAGGAGGGTGGTGAGGATTTGGGTGGTTTTGGGGGAGAGGCGTAGGATGAGGGCTTTGGAGAGCCAGAAGAGGGTTTTGATGGTGGGGGTGGTGAGTTGAGGGTCTTGGGTGGTTGGGGGGAGGAGGGTGTCGAAGAGGGAGGTTGCGAGTTCGAGATCTTCCTTGTTGAGGTGCTTGTTGATGTAGAGGGCTAGATGGCGGAGGAAGGCCAGCTGGGTGGCGGTCTCGGTCTCGGTCGTGCAGCGGGTTGCGATGTCTGTGAGGAGATCGGACATCACGGGGGGTGTGCAGGGGGGCAGGTTCTTCGTGTCTCGGGGCAGACTGGCGAGGAGGTAGGTCGAGAGGATCATGGTGCGGCGGTGGCTGTCGGTTGGGGAGGGCGTGAAGGGCACCTGTTGGAAGCCATCCGCCGAAGCGAAGAGGGTATAGATGTTGGAGACGACTTCGTCATGCTTGCTCTGGGGAAGGGATCGGATTATGACGTTGCATAGTCTTCCGAGGACATCAAGGACGGTAGCGTCGGTCAGGATGTTGTTCGGGGCTTTGCCTAGAGCTGCTGTTGCTGCGCTGCGGCACAGGCTCACGACGATCTTGTCGTAGTAGAGGTCCAGGTTCGGGGTCTCCTCGAGTTTCCTTTGGTTCATGACATACAGGATAGTCAAGAGGATGGCTCTGGGGTAGTCCACGGACCCTGGGTCTTCCTTCTGCAACAGTATGCTCAACTTGCTGAGCAGACGACGGACAAGAGTGTCGAAGATATCCCTCTCGACACTGATTTGTGCGAGAGTCTCGAGAGTGGTGATATACCCAGGGTTAGACCCATCGTCGGAGTCAGGAAGCGTGGCCACGAAAGCAGGGAAAGTGATGTCCAAGATCAGACGCGGCTTATACTTCGAAATTTCAGTCAGTGCAGCGATAGCTTCCTTCTTCAGGTCGTCACGGCCAACTGATTCCTCCTTAAGAAGGATTTCGTCAAGGTATTGAACGAACAGTCCGACTTCGTTATCTTGGAAGTAGTTGCGCAGGGTAGACAAGCGCAAGAATCCCTTCAGGGCGGAGGTGCGGAACGAGACCTCCTCTTTGATAACGCCCATGAGTGCCTGGCCGAAGATGTCCGAGAATTGGTCCTTAAATTCGAGCAAGGGGTTGCTGAGACTAGGCTCCGAGTCCCGCGATGTCCATGCGCCATATACCTGGATAGCAGAATCGAAGAGAACGGTCAAAGTATCTAGCAGAGCTCTCTGCTTGGCGATTCCATCGGCTTCCTGGTAGATAGTCAAGAGGGGTGCGACGACGGTTTGCACGATGAGCGTGAACGAGGCTGCGGACGCTGCGGAAGTCGAACTGAGGATTTGCTGAGCAGGTTTCGCCTGTTTTTGCTGTGGCTCCTGCAATTGCTCGCTGCACTCCTTGGTAATCGGGCGCAAGAACTGTGCAAGAGGCAACTGATCGGAGACCTGTGTGACGCCCTCCGACAAGCGCTGCGCAATACTGCTCAAGAGCTGGAGAGAGAGCTCAGAAAGAAACTCCTCCTGGGCATTGAGGATCTCGAATTTCAGAGTCTCCCAGATGGTGATCGAGTACTTGGACACGGTGTTTGGGTCGTACAGCTTGACGCAAGCAATGAGTGCGTTGAGTGCATCTTTCTATAGGAATTGTTAGAACGCATGAGGGCCGCAGTCTTGTCAACACGTACCTTGACGTTGGGCGACGTAGAGTCAAGCTTATCCAACAGAGAAGGGACAGCGTGCGGAGCAAAAAGACTATTCGCCGAAATACAGTCTTGCAAGCGATCCTTCAAGTCCTGAGCAGTAATACCGTAGGGATCATTCGGCGGAGGCCTGAACGTAATGGGGAAATAGTTGTAGACAGAGTCGAACAGAGCCTTCACATGTCAGTTATCAAAAGACCACACCCACACCACATGCAATACATACTTCAGCATGGTTGGACACATCCCACTCCACCATTACCACCTTGAGGATCGAGAACACCAGCATCAGGTTGCGCGGGTCCTTCTCGCCCGTCATCAGGTTCACTATGCCAACCAGGGACTCGTCACCCATATCATGGAGGGCTGCACCATCAGTCAATTCCCGCAAATCAAGACCGAAGGAAGTATGGATGGTAGAAACGCACCGGCACGATGATTGATCATCAATTCGTTCAGCAATTGGTAAACCTGAAACCTCTGAGACTGCGAGCGAGACTGTAGCTCCTCGAAGCGCTCGAAGACACTGCACGAGTCAGCTACACATCCCGTCCGCGATCGACGCATGACCTTATCAATATCAGATGCACTCACGCCCGCGCAACCTCTTCAGCCAACGCCTTATTGAACCGATCCAGCTTCTGCAAGGTCTCCAACCCAGCGACAGCACCTCCATCCTCAATCCGTTCGCAGAAGAAAGTCGTCAGAACCTGAATCTGTTGTCTCGACAGGAACTTCGGGGGAAGCGCCCTGATCACGGCCGTGAGGTAGGAAACGGCCTTGCCGCGCAGAATCGGGTCCTCGTCATTGATGTACTCTCCTAGCGACTGCACGACTTCAATGAGCGTGATCTTCTTGGTCTCCACATCTTTTTGTCCCCAGCAATAGTAGTTAGTCCCGGTCCGTCATCTATCAAACTGCTGCGGCGGCGGCGGCGGCGGGGGTGCATGGGAACATCAAACATAACGTACCTTGAGCAATTCGTTCCGCGATCTGCTTGGCCTCCTGCTTATCATGGTCCACGACCAGCAGGAACGTCTGCAACGCCGACATCTTGTGACAGGTGAGACGTCGGAAATCGCAGGCAAATGGAGGGGGAGGGGAAGGAGGAGGAAAGAAAGTCACTAGTCAAGTGCCTCAGTCTATCTTCTCCGCGACCGGAACATGACGCCGTTTGTGGCCCGCCCATTGATTGCCCTTATCGATAGGCATCACGTGCTACTACATTGACCATATTACTGTCCAGCTATTACAAAAGTCCCTACTCCGTACTAACAGTACTAACTAGTTAGTTAGCTGTTGGCCGTTGCGTCATCCCCCAGTCCGGCTGACAGGCCGATCACCTCCACCACAATACCATACATCTAATTATCACATAACTTAATCTATATAAAAAATCCCCCATATCAAAATGACCAAGAAATCCCTCTTCCTCATAGCATCCTCCCTAACCCTAATCATCATCATCCTCACCACTCTTTCCACAGCCAACAACAGCTTCCCACTCCGAAAACGTCTTCCCCGTCCCTTCGTCTCCGCACCACACCTCCGTCACGACCTCCACCTCCAAGACTCCACCACCACCAACAATCCCTACCTCTCCGAGATCAAAGAGTGGCTATCCCAGCAACTACCCTCCACCAACAACAACAACAACAAAATGGGCAGCAAATCCTCCTCCCACGAAAACCCCATCATCTCCGACGTCCTGCCCAAGAACCGTCTCATCAACGTCTACGCCTCGCTCACCCGGCAATTCGACAGTGTAGAATCCCGCTTCAATGATCCCTCAAGCAACGTGACGGTCCTGGCACCGCGGAACAGTGCGATCCAGAACCTGCCGCGCAAGCCGTGGGAGAATCCTGAGGATTATGAGCGGTTTGGGCAGGCTGGGGCGTATGAGGGTGATGAGGGGCAGGATCGGGCTACGAAGAATTTGGAGAGGTTTGTGAAGGCGCATGTTGTTGTGGGGAGTCCTTGGGGGGAGGGTGATGAGGGGGTTACCCTTGCTGGGGAGAAGGTGACGTGGAATAAAGGGGAGGGGGGGAAGATTTATGTATGCTCTTTCTTCTTTATTTTTTCCGTTGCTTCTGTGATGTGATGCTGACTGTTTGTGGAAGATTCAACCGGGGAATGTGGAGGTGGATAGTGTTGCTGAGAAGGTGTCGAATGGGGAATTGTGGATTTTGAATGGTGTCGTTAATTATACTTAGGTCCTGATGGCGGACTGTCATGATGGTTATTATATATTTCGTTATGTTTGTGATATTGATGATGATTTCATGATTGATGGATGCCTGGATACGGTCTCGTGGCAGAGGCTACTATTAATGAGGACACTCGCGTCTTAGTACTTACTACTCACGTTCTGCACTCATATTACTAGTATGTCATATTGATACATCTGCACTTCATCTAATATATTCAACAAGTAGAGTCCAAATACACCCATGAGCCAGACCAATCGTAACCTAATAGCTTTTCCTACCCGCGTAATGAGCCAGAACTCTCTCCTCAACGCCATCCAGAATGCAGAAGTGCTCAATGACCTCCAAGTTCTCAGCCTCACTCTGGTACAACTTATCGGGATCCTGGCCGGGCTGGAAGGGGTTAATCCCAGCAGCAGGGTTCATCGAAGCCATCTGCGAAGCCATGTGGTTGGCCGCTAAAGCAAAATCTGTCAGCACACTCACTCCAACCTGATGGATAAGAAAGCACATCGAACTAACCATTATCACTACCCAAAATAAACCCAAAGACCGATTGCAGTCCAAACAAGTTCAAGAAGTACCACGAAAGACTAGACACCCATCTAACATCCAAATCCCGGGTCATAACACCAGACTGCAGCATCGACTTGAACCGAATGGTAAGCGGGAAAGGCAATTTCACTAGTAGCACTCATGTCAGCTCATCCCTCCCCTCTCATAGTGTATCAGATAAGCCCTACAGATCACAAATCCCGAAAAGAAGGCATTGATCCAGCTCATGATCAGCGTCTGCGGGATCATCATCATCATATTCCCCTTCATCATGCCCATCATAGCCTCCATGCCAGCAGGATCGGTCATCGGGTTCGCAGGCGGCTGGCCGCGACTAGCGGGGTCCTTGAGGAAAGCCCCGCTCTGGTAGGCAGAGACGAGGTAGTTCTTGCGCATCTCGAAGGACTCCTTGGAGAGCACGGAGGAGTTATTCCGTAAGTTGACGCCTCGAATCAGTCCGAGGCGTTCGCGGGATTCGGCCAGTGTCGAGGCCGGCTTCGGGGGGTTGTTCATCAAGACGGTGGCATAGTGACGGAGGATACCAGTAAGAATCTAATGAATGATAACATTAGCATATATCCTAGTCACCAATGGAGTAGATAAGGTTCACATACCATAACAACAGTGATAGGGAACACAATCCAGTAGCTAGAGGTGCGAGTCAATCATATCAGCATTTCGCATCAAACCGCGCCCAGTACCGGGCAATAAACTCACAATAGAGCCGGATCCCGAAGGATCGTCTGCTCAACGCCTTGCAGAGCCATGATGAGCACAATTGAATAAGATTAGGTGTGGTCTAATCCCTTGGGTTGTGGTTCGGAGGCAGAGAAAGACACACGGAGCTCCCCACGGAAGTTGGATGGGGCGGCGCGGCGGGCTGGCTGACTTGACTGACTGACTTGCCTTGGCGCATGCCATTGCCGCCGCTTTAGCTTGCGAAAGGGACAGCTCGCCGCAACTCTTCCCCGGTTTAGATCAGAGCTCCACGAAGTATTCTTCCACCTTTTCCTAAATTATTTTACATTGAAAAGCTGGGGGTATTAGTACTCTATCTTGTCTTATTTGGCTTCAAAGATAAATTCCCCAGATGGCGTCCTCAGAAGTCCAAAAAGTGCCCGTTTACTCGGTCAATGGTTAGTTCGCGATAAACATCACTATTACTACATATATTCATATTATCACTACGACGCAATACCTACTACCCTCGCATTTCTATGTACTGAATCCATGGAGATTGCTAATCATTTTATCGAACAGACATAAAATCAACAACCGATGACGCCCTAGCTCCCTACCTCGGCTCCCTCCCTCAACCCTACACCTTCGCCCAAGACCACACCAAGACCAATGTCCACCTATTCCTGGGCTACGCTGCCGTCGCAATCGCCGGTTTCAGCTTCTATGCTGAACGCAAGCTCAACTGGGAGGCGACACATTCACCATGGATCATCGCAGCGGTGCTGTCGTACTTTACCTTGAACTCGCTTCTCACATACTGGGTTTGGGCTGTTGAGGCGGGTGAGGTATTCCGTGGGAAGCGGAAGTCGGGTGAAACGGTACGTTCCCATATCGCTGAAAGGTGGGTTAGTTCGGCTGTGAGTTAATACGATATGCTAGATCATCATTCGGTCTTCCGTGCAGAAGCACTCTCCCTTGTACAAGCTGCGGGTCCAGTATAAGTCGGCGCAAGGCAAGACGCTGCAGGAGAAGGAGATTGAGACCTCGTTCACTAAGTGGTTTGCTGCGGATGGGACATTCCACCCCGAGCCTTTGAGGGCCTGGCTGGCTGGTGAGATTGAGGTTCTGGGGTTGGCGGCCAAGGAGACAGAGAAGAAGACTGGGGGTGTTGCGAGTTTAGTAGGCGTTGAGGAGGAGAACAAGGATGTTAAGAGGAGGAAGTGAAATGTATATGGGGTGCTGGTTGTGGATAATCTAGTGGGTTGGAAAGGAAACTGGAGTTTATTGACCTTGATTGCATTAGTCTTCTCTTCTTTCCAGAAATGAAAGTGTGTCTTGTTGTTCAGGAATTCAGTCATAACATGAACGTAAGGAATCATATATTGACAGAATAAATGTATGTTCATTTCATTTCCCACACAAGGGCTCAAGAGACGAGAACCAGGGAATAATTGACCAAAATGAGGTATAGGTTTTGTCTTTTTTATACAAGAATGATTGGGTCGCATGATATATGGCTTCAGTGGAAAGATACAATAGAAGAAGTGGAAGTAAAAAGGAATCTATGACTGGCTCTTCTTAATTCGTCTCCCGTGGCACGTTTTAGAGAATATTGGTCGTAGTGTAGGATGGTTTAGTTAGCGGCTTCCAGGGTTCCCGGACGCTCGGTAGCTTCAGCGGGCTTCACGTCATCCATACGGCTGTTCTGGATGAGTCTCTGCAGGACATAGTTAGTGGATGAAGTTGCTTCGGCGAAGATATGAAGTAATTGCTTACCAGCAAGTTGCGCATCAGGACGACAATGGTGACCTTTCCAATGGAAGGAACGAAGATGGAGGCCTTCTCCTTGACCTCGGGTCCAAAATTCTGTTCACACCCTATGTTAGCCTTTGAAATAAAGTATTATTATTGTAAATGGCTGTGGGACGTACCTTCTCGCTGGAGAAGTTGACACACACAGCACCCTCTCTCAGAAGGCTGGTATCGAACTTGTACTTCTCTCCAGGAACACCGGAAATGACAACATCACACAGAGGTGCCACATCCTTCAGGGTCTTTCCCTCCAGGTCGACGACCTCGTGTCTGCCCTTCTTCAGACCCTCACCACGGGTGAACTTCTGAACGCCGGTGATATCGACACTGTAGACGCAGGCACCGTCGTTGGCCAGCAGAGCAGCGAGAGGGCGACCAACCACCTCAGAGCGGTTCACAACACAGATAGTGTGTCCGAAGAGGCGGTTACCGTACGGCAATATCGTGTTGTAGATGTTGAGGTATTCGAGGATCTTAATGACAGCGAGGGGGGTGCAGGGGAGGATGCACTTCTGTCTCTTGGTCTCGGGGTCAAGGAAACGAATGTTCTGGTACATGTTGAAAATGTAACGGTGGCTCAGACCCTCTACATCCTTATTTATGTCGACGATCTGCTGCAGGTACTGGTCCTGGCGGTTGTTGAAGATGGGGTAGTATACGATGATGCCGTTGACATCGGAGTCGGCGTTGGCAGCGAGGATAGCTTGCTCAAGATCATCGCGGGCAACTTCACGGAGAGAGTAGCGGAAGCCACTGTGCAATGGATAAAAGACTACGTTAGCTACGAAGTGACATCCCACAATACTGCCTGCGTGCCAGGAGAGCTCCGACATCGCAGGGTTGAGTCATATGCGCGCCGAGGGGCCACCAAACGCAGTAACCACAAGGGCACGACGGACGCAACTGGGAGTGAAATTTTGGGAGAATGCTCACTTTTCCTGACACGTCTTCTCCGTCATCTGGGCATACATCAACGCCGCGGGGTCGTTGTTGGCAAGGAATCCCACCAAGTGAGGCGGCTTCTCCAGGGTATGGACGCCCTCCTGGACCTCCGCAAGCAGGCGATTGGCAACATGCTTGGAGAGCATGACCTTGCAAGAGGCCGGGACCGAGTCAGAAGTGGTAGCCATCTTTGCGAATGGGAGGGAAGAATGATTCGAAGCAATTGAGATGGGAGGGAATACACTCTCTACTTCAAGGTGGGCTATGGCGGAGGGGCATTAAAAGAAATTTTGGGACGGAAAAGGCTGCTCGCTTATCGATAAACGCAATGCCCGCATTCGGCCCATCCCATCGGCTCCAGACGGCGAGCAGCACAGCTTCATCCAGTATCCATCCCCCGCAAATTTACTGGGACGATTGTCCCTTGGTTCCCCAGATGGTATGGTTCTGATATCAGATTGCTGGCTATATGACATTTACGCGAATGGACCCCCGTAGTGCTTGCAGTTTTCAACCCCAGATCATCTACCCTAGTTTAATGTCCACCATTTCGACCGGGGAAGAAGGCGCCACCCGGCAATGAGACCCCAATGGCTTCTATATATATCCCACTCCTTGACCCTCATCTAATGCCATGGGTTCGTGCTGGGTCGAGTTACCCCAGACTGGCCGCTATGACCGCCAGAGATCAAAGCTGGAGCGTTTTAGTAGTCCAACTATCAGATCAACTACTACTAAGTGACTACTTCATACGCACCCGTCAGAGTACCAAGTTTAATCGAACAAAGGAAATCATATTCAGGCTGCATATATGTAGACAAAGGTTTCATAAGTCGAGACCAGCTGGAAGGTATTACACGCCAAACCAGTTAATCCGTCCAATTCCGTTCCCTTTGTCGCGCGAAATGATCTAAACGTACAGGATATTAATCGTATCTTTTTTGCCTTTCTCCGCACCACCGCTTTACCCTGCTCTCCGTCGTCCCATAAGCTACATAGATCTGGCAGTAAAATATCATCGCATAGTTGCAAACTACACCTCATCCAATATCTCGACCGACCCGAAGCTCTGGTTTAACAGAAAAAAAATAAAACAGTGGGTTCAAATTGTACAAGCTATCTTGTCTATACACATAGAGTCAGGATTGATTCGGTACATGGCGGGCTATTCGCCCAAGAGCATTGTGTTGCTCACCTATGCGTTGAAGGACTTGTTGAAGGTGGGGATGATCTCCTTGAGCTGAGCCTCGAGCTCCTTGCTGACCTGGCCCTCCTTCTCGATGGTCTCCTGGATCTCGGGGTGGTTGCTCTTGAGGTGAGCAAGGAAGTCAGACTCCCACTGGAGGATCTTGGCGACGGGGATGGAGTCGAGGAAACCGTTGACACCAGCGAAGATCAGGGGAACCATGTCGGAGACGGCCATGGGGGAGTACTGCTTCTGCTTGAGGAGCTCGGTAAGACGCTCACCACGGTTGAGGGTCTGCTTGGTGGAGGCATCGAGATCGGAACCGAACTGGGCGAAGGCAGCAACCTCACGGTACTGAGCCAAGAACAGCTTCAGGGAACCGGCGACCTGCTTCATGGCCTTGACCTGGGCAGCGGAACCGACACGGGAGACGGACAGACCGACGTTAATGGCGGGACGGATACCCTTGTAGAACAGCTCAGACTCCAAGAAGATCTGACCGTCAGTGATGGAGATGACGTTGGTGGGAATGTAAGCGGAGACATCACCACCCTGGGTCTCAATGACGGGGAGGGCAGTGAGGGAACCACCACCGTGCTTCTCGTTCATCTTGGCGGCACGCTCAAGGAGACGAGAGTGGAGGTAGAAAACGTCACCGGGGTAGGCCTCACGACCAGGGGGACGACGGAGCAGCAGGGACATCTGACGGTAGGCGACGGCCTGCTTGGAAAGGTCATCGTAGATGATGACGGCGTGGCGGCCGTTGTCACGGAACCACTCACCCATGGCACAACCAGTGAAGGGAGCAAGGTACTGCAGAGGAGCAGCCTCGGAAGCAGTAGCAGCAACAACAATGGAGTACTTCATGGCGTCGTTCTCCTCGAGGGTCTTGACGAGCTGAGCGACGGTGGAACGCTTCTGACCGACGGCAACGTAGATGCAGTAAAGCTTCTTGCTCTCGTCGGAGGTGTTGTTCCAGCGCTTCTGGTTCAGCATGGCATCAAGGGCGACAGCGGTCTTACCGGTCTGACGGTCACCAATGATCAACTCACGCTGACCACGGCCGATGGGGACCATGGAGTCGACACACTTCAGACCAGTCTGGACGGGCTGGTTGACGGAGCGACGGGGCAGGATACCAGGGGCCTTGAGCTGAGCACGGCTCTTGGTCTTGGTGGGGATGGGACCCTTGCCATCGATGGGGTTACCGAGAGCGTCGACGACACGGCCGAGCATCTCAGGACCAACGGGGACATCGACCTAGATGGTTTTGTAAGTAAAATTGCTGATATCTGGGCGTGAAAAAGCAGAGATACATACAATCTCTCCGGTACGCTTGACAGTCTCACCCTCCTTGACGAGACGGTCGGAACCGAAAAGCACGACACCGACCTGGCCGGCTTCGAGGTTCATGCACATACCCTTGACGCCAGAGGCGAACCTAATGATTTGTCAATTGATTGGAACATAAACAAGGCATATATAAAAAACGGGGGCACCTACTCGACCAGCTCCTCAGCCTGGACGTTGGTCATGCCATGGACACGAGCGATACCGTCACTATTTTTGACATTAGTTTCAATTGATTTCGATGGAGAGCGTCAAATAATGGCCGGATTTTCGAATATTTCGATGATATCGATGGAATTGAAGCGGCGGCCAAAATTTTCAACCGAGGGAGAATTCGTCACGTACCCGACGGAAAGGACACGTCCAGTCTCGGCAAGACCAGCCTCCTCCTGAACACCACGGATTCTCTGCTCAAGGATGGAAGAGACCTCAGTGGGAGAGGCCTTGGCCTCAGCAGCGTAGGAACGGATCTGCTTGGAGGCGCCAGAGAGGGGGCCGGGAACAGCCGCGCGAGCCTGTAGTCGTACGCAAAATTTGTCAACATCACGACCACGCAGTCAAAACGCGTAAAAGCGAAGCAGCAAGCATTGCGATGTGTAGAGAGGCGATAGCAAGCATCATTGAGATGACTTCTTGGATGGAATCGGCCAGATGGCGAAGGTATGGTCGACCTGGACAGGGATAGGACTCACCGAAGCGATCCTGCCAGTGGCAGAGGCAGCCGCGACGGTGCGGCTAGACTGCCGCAAAGCGTTTCTGAACATTGTGATAGGGGTTCAGAGGAGTGGGAGAGTGGTTTCTCTGAAGGAGAGATGTAATTGGGGGGAGGGAGGAAGAGGAGAAAGGATTGTGGATGGATGGAAGGAGAGCTTTGTCGTCGGGGTTGGGAGGATTCTCAGGACTGCCACTAATCCTAGTTTGCCGAGACCTCACCAACCTCCGAAGCCGCCCTAGTGCGCTCACGGGACACCCACCCACCCCAAAGAAACTCGTTGCCGGGTGATGTATTCCATCACTTTTGTCTGCTATTTTTTTTTCCCACCGATCTACTACTACATTATTCTTAGTCCATAAATTTATTATTATTAGTTCCCCTACACTTTGAACCCTTTTCATAAAAAATTATTATGGTAGGGAATTGTTAACATTGTTGCTCTAAAGTTGACGGGGGTTGAGGGAAAGCGGTAACCGCTTGTTTCTCCGGGCCACCTGGCCATCCCATTTTTCATTTGTTCCTTTTCTCGGATCTGCGGATACTGCTGGTTGGCTGGCTTACTCAGTTCATTTTCGTCGCAGCAACCGCCCGCAGGGCCCTGCCAACAACAACCCGCCCCGTTCTGCTCGACACCGCACTCACTCACCTCACTGCTTTGACCGGTTGTCCCGGTGGGAAACACCGGCTCGACATGGGCCCTTCCCATGGCTGCGACCAACTGGTTCGTTCGTATGTTACCGCTACCCAGCATATACCTCCTCTTTTCTCCTCCTTCTGCCCGTCAAGTCCAAGACTTGTCCCAAACTTTTCCCCTCTTAATTATATGTAATTTGTCTCTCGTTCTCCTCTTCTCGTGCGCATGTTGCATGACAGAAAAGAACCCCCCTCTTATATTCACATACCAACCATACCCGACCTTTTTCCTATTTTCCCTTCCCCATTTTTCCTCCTTACAGTCCTCACTGCCCAGGTTCCTACTCCGTACCTCCCGGGGCTTACATCATGATCCACTTTGGATGCATGAATGTCAAGCCTGCAGCAACATCGGTTTAATCACTCATCTTGGGATACTTCGCTCTTCATTAATGATTAACTTGAAATACCGACGTAGTATGATAGTATTACTGTAGCGCTGACAGACATTGGATTCTGCAAACATCAATCTCAAAACTCCAGAGGTACCAAAAACTAATGCTAAGGAAGAGCAATGCTCTCATTTCAAACCATTGGCATGGCAGCATAACTCGCACCAAAATCACCGCTACTAGCCATGCAACTCCCATGTAAAAATAGAGATCGGGTCATCCTACGCTATAGCTTTACAGCACTTATTTGGCAGTCTTGCCCTTCTGCGCCTTGAAAGCTGCAATCTCCTTTTCCACATTCTGATCGTATCTGGCCTTCAGCTCCGGACGGTAGCCAAAGAAGAAGAGCACTTCCATCCAGACGAAGAGAGGTGCCAGGAGAAGCGCCTGGACAAGGTTGTCCAGCAAGGCCGGAGCCCTGCGCTCAAAGGCACCATGGCCGACAAATTGAGCCAGCCAGGACACTACATGGATTCCAGCAAACCAATAGTTGGCGCTGTTGCCATTCGTAGCCAGTAGATGGTTCGCCCAGGCTGCACCCGCGATTATAAGAGGAGCGACCAGTGCCCCTGCAACAGGTTCGAGGAGGATGTAGAACGTGGAGTATATAATGGCTGCGATCGTTCCGAGATTAGGTGGGAGGTTTTGAATCTGCAGCACATCGGGCAGGTTCACGAAAGCCGGTGTGTTCGACGCCTAGTAGATTTATTAGACGTTAGCGGTCCATCGCTATGAAGGGTTGAGGGATAGCATTTCGTACCAGAGCGATTCCTGTGAACAGAAGTATCGGCACGCATGTAATGTGTATCGCAACATTGACCTGGACGGGACATTAGAGCAAGCCGCAAATAGGGCAGATAGCATGGCATACTGGGTTATTGTGATAGGCTCCATACTGCGACACTCGTTAGCATGGAATTCTTGCGCCAAACACTGATAGGTGTTGCGGTAGAGGCTTACAAACAGAAGCTGCTTTTCGAGATTCAAGGCCATCTTGGAAGGATATTATTGCTATGGCTCGAAAGTCCGATGTAGATGGGGTGCAACAAAAGAGTACTAGCGAGCGTGAGACCAGCTCCTTTTTTTTTTTTTGTTTCTTGTCTGGGGATATTGCCTGATCTGACCCGATCAGCAGGTGGAGAGATAGGACATTCTATGATTTGTTCCTGGCTTTATGCTTGTGCAGACGTCATCCCGGCCTAGGTAAACTCGTTGCACAAAGGCAGGACCGAGGATATCGTGATTAATTACACGCTGCGTATCGTTATGACCGGCAGTCCGCGGAGCTATACTCTATTGGCTCTGTAACGGCGTATGGCTGTGTAATAAATGACCGTCGTGGGGGTTGCTCTCCAGATAGTCACGTGAGAGCATCCAGCTCGAGCTGATCAGACAGAAATCCGTGACCGCTATGACCTTGGTGTCGAATTAACGGGTGACTGCCCCTTGTTCTCGTCCGATCTTGTTTGAAGGCAGGGTTTATCTGCTGCAATTGCTCTGTTCTGCTCTCTTTATCCTGAACGCGCGCTCCCTTCTTCTGTTGACTTGCTGAATCAGTTTTCTGGTCTTCCCAGTCGTTGATATCTTGTCATCAAGTATTGGCGGCAAGTGCTCGTCCATTTGTCGCAAACCTAGTTCATTCGCTTCACTCATTCATAGCGATTCAACTTACTCGGACTAACGACACGGGCCACTCGAGATATTCGAACTGCACCATCCAATCCCCGGGAAACAGTAAGATACTGGCTGAAGCTTGGTCTATCGCGTAAACCGAACCCCCACCGCACCGGCTGTTGAACCAAAATTGTGTATCATACTCTCGACCATCACAAGTCTACAACATGTTTTTCCTTAAAGAAGAGGTCAAGGTTATCACCTTGCACCCGTCCTACTTCGGGCCCAACATGCGCGAGTATCTCATCAACCGGTTAAACGAGGAGGAAGAGGGACGTTGTACGGGCGACCATTTCGTGATTTGTGTGATGGACATGGTTGATATTGGCGAAGGACGGGTGCTTCCAGGCAGCGGACAGGCAGAATATACGATTAAGTATCGTGCAATTATCTGGAAGCCCTTCCGCGGAGAGACCGTACGTTCTGGAGTCGCACTGAAACCGGGCTGCATTTGATTCTGACCAGAAGCCTGTAGGTCGATGCGATTGTTACATCTGTCAAGCCCACGGGTATCTTTACTTTGGCCGGTCCATTGTCTGTTTTCATTGCACGGAAAGTATGTCGACGACCGAGTTTGAGTTGGATCACCTAGTCTTGTCGGATGCTAACGGTTGGCAAGAACATTCCTTCCGATATCAAATGGGAACCGAACACAGTACCGCCGCAATACACAGACCATGCGGATCAAGTCATCGAGAAGGGGACCAGTTTACGGCTCAAGATTCTCGGTGTGAAGCCCGACGTTGCGGCGATCAATGCCATTGGAACGATCAAGGAAGATTACCTCGGGTGAGTTCCCCCCCCAAATCCTCTCTGGGAAGTGGTGTCCGATGCAGATGTACTGACGTTTTACTCTTTTTTTCTCTTTACCAGACCATTGTAATGCCTTTTGTGATGTGCCGTTAACCTCCACCATTTACCCTAATGATTGATATCGCGTGACTATTGAAAGGATCGTTGATACCCTTTCCTTACTCTACAATTTCTCACACAAGAACAACCATGTTGAAAGAATTCTGCCTTGCAAGGAGGTGCGCCTATGGGTAGAATGATGAGAGCGCGCCCAAGGCCGGAGTCTTGGGCTTGGATATCATCCACCGGCATGATATCGTGCCTTTTCTTTGCAGAAACCCGCGCAGGCGAACGGGACTGACTGATTGCTGCGAAACCAGGCACTAAATTGCACCTGAGAAGAAAAACCACGACGGGGAGGGCATAGGATCTCCCAGGCCAGTGAGGAGGATAGCTATATGTGTGTATATCTAAGGCGGACACTTCCGAATTTGGCTTGCCGGACTGAAGGTCTAAAATAAAATAAAGAAAGACGAACTAATTTATAGATGGAAAGGACCACGACCAAGTTCTGGACCTGAGTCTAATAGTATCTAGACTCCCGTTACTCCCTACTACTTACATAGCCAAGCAAGTATACGTAGTGTAGTGCAGTGCAGTGCAGTGAGCCGAATTATGCAGACAGGCAGCACGAATAAAGAACCCAGCCGAGCCCAAGCGCAGTTGCCGGAGAGACGCGGGTAGTTACTTAGTTACTTACTCCTTAGGACTTACTAGTAGTTGGTGGCCCATCACGATTAGTGAAACGCTGGTGTGTCCATCGTCGGAGCCGTGCGCGTGGCTCATTTGACTTTCCCCAGTCCTTAGCGTCGTGGGAGATTTCTCGCGAGATTGTGATGAACCCGAATAGACTCAGATGAAGCCATGGACTGTCATGCCCCCAGAGTCCGAAGACACATGTTTATTTGATCAT